CTAATGTCATCTATGAATTCTCCTGCCCACTAGGCAATTGCATTTGCTATTATACACAAATTTTCTATGTTGGGCATACAACCACTATTCTATCTTGCAGGCTAACCTGCCACCTCATGGATCATTGTGCAATCAATGCACACACCAGTAAACATATATCACTTGGCAATAAGATCTCCACTTGTAAACATATACTAGATAACATTAACTGTTTAAAAAAAAAACAAAAAAAAAATCCAAATATCAGAAGCTTTGTCCACAAAATCCCCAAACTAAACAAAATCTCTTTTAATGTTGGAAGTGTAGTTTTAAACACTTGATGATACAGGTAAGCAATGGAGAATCTTACTTGCCAATCATGATGTCCTCATAATGCATGAGAATGTTGAGTCTTAAAAGTATTCGAATGTGTAAAAGAAAATGTATCTATTTGAATGCAGATTTTGAAAATGACCAGAAGTATGGTTGAAAGTCCTCAATCACAAACATTCATGGAATATCTGAACTCATTTGATCCCAGCATCAATTAATCTGGATGTAAATAACTAAAAGAATAATAAATCCTCATTTGTTATTTTTCATACACATACACACATGCATATACACGCAGAGATTTTTTGAGAGAGAAAGTGAGATATCAATCTAATCCCCTTAAATTATTATGCTGGAAGTGGCCACACCTGATTTTGCCCCAGAAATACAAATGTCAATCCATCCACCTTCCTTGAGCCCAATGCCTACTGGCATCAACAACATTCAGGATAATTGCTCTCTAATGGGATCATCCAGAATTGTTGAAATATTTGTGTTGTTCTTTTAGGAAAATGTTATCTGCATCCTACATCTAACCATCTTTGTACTGTTTCAGGTGGCTGCATTTTGAATTCAGAGTTGTTCTTCTCCTAGACTGGTTGCCAACCAAGGCTAGAGAGCCAACTCTGCCCTTCTACTTACCACATAGCTGTAGGGGGTGGGGGAGTGAAAGGAGAGATTGATTCATAAAACCTCTTCCCAAGGTTATTTGTGTGAAAGGGAAGGAAACGAACTCAACCGGATTTCAAAATCAAATTGCCGATTTCTCATTCTGTGGCGCTAACAATTTTACTAAATTCTTTGAATAAATCTGTTAAAACTTCCACTTTTTAAAGAAACAAGGTTTTCAGATGTTATCCTTCATGTCTTAAGAAAATGGCAAATTGAATTCAAAAATTGTTCCAAAAGGATGAAAAAAAAAAAAAAAACAGAATATTCAGATGTTACTCTTTATGAAATAGAAACAGAGAGAAAAGACATTTTAAATAATAATAATAATAGATAACTGTCTATATCTGAGATGAGGTATTGTGATTACTTGTAATATTTACATTATTCAGACTGTTATCCTCATCTTCATTGCCATATTCACAATGTTTCGGCCATTGTACGTTCTGGCCTTCTTCGAACCAATCCCTTTGGTGGATGAAATAAAGGGTTTGTTTCAAAATTCCAATCACATGAAGAAGCCCAAGGTGTACAACAGCCAAAACATTGTGAATATGGCTATGAAGATGAGGATAACAGTTCAAATAATGTAAATAATGCAAGTAAACCTAATACCTCATCTCAGAGATATGGACAGATATTCAGGCCGGTAGATAAAAATGAATAAATATACGCCTAATAATAATATAATAATAAGTCATATATTTGTAAGTAAAAACAATTTACTACCAAAATAAGCATTCGGATTATTTTCAATTAGAAGAAAAAAACAAAAAAAAAAAAGAGGTTATATAAATAAAAAAAATTACTAAACATTTACTAGTGCTTACCATGGTCATATTAAGATTGTATTTGTCTATATTTATGAGTTAAGGTATTGTAACTATTTACATTGGTCAGCCTTCTTCAGGTGATATTTTTTTTTATATTTTCAAGAAAATATCCCTGAAGAAGGCCGGAGCATACAAAGGCCGAAACATTGTTAATGTGACATCAAAAATGAGGTCAACAGTCTGAGTAATATCATCATCATCATCATCATCATCATCAGCACTCCTTGACTTTTGTAATCGCAAGATGGATACGAATGCAGAAGCCACATTAACTTTTCCCCAACAGTCTATCATCGGCAGTCATCAGCAATTCTGGTGCAGTCATACCTGTCCATTGTTTGACATTGGACAACCAGTTTTTGCGTTGATGTCCTCTCCTACATCCATTTTAAACGGTGACTTGTAAAATAGTGTAAGTAAGCCTGTATTGTTAGAAAATTTTATGCTTAACTAGAGTTATCTCCCTTCTATCAGTGATGCCGAGTAGCAGTGTCTTTCTGATGACAATGGTCGGAACGTGAAATAACTGAAAGATTTGGCAGCCATTTCGAGGATGTTGTCATTCTCACACTCACAACTGAGATTTTGTCAAAATCAGATTTTTAAAAACCTTTTGATGTAAATAAACCTGCCCTGGTGATATAATCATAATAATCATAATTTCTCTGCAACCATAATATCTTCCTCAAAAACTTACTAAACCCCATCAATTATATATTTACTGATTCCTTAAGGAAATACAGAAACATTTCATGATGGTCACTTGTTTATAAATACTTTAGTAGTCAAATAGATAATTTTCAGAAAAAATATATGTATCTATAAGTAATGAAAATCTTGGTAATCCGTATGGATAATCCTGAGAAGGATGAGATCCTGAGAGCTGAATGTTAAGTCAGAGCGAATAATTTAATTTAAAGAAAAAACAGATCACTTTAAGGCTCCATTTTTCACCAGAGAATTTTATTTTTCACTGGATCTTCAGACTTTACTTTCAAAGGTGGAATGAAAAAGTTTTCATTTCACCTTTTGAAAGTGAAGTCTGAAGATCCAGAGAAAAATAAAATTCTCTGGTGAAATAAATTATAAACAAATGGAGCCTTAAAGTGGTCTGTTTTTTTTAAATTAAATATATATATATATATATATATATATATATATATATATATATATATATATATATACATTATATACACGTGTGTGTGTGTGAGAGAAAAAAGAGTTTATTTAATTTATTTTAGAACATTTAAAAATTCATTCATCTAGCTGAAATGTGTGAATTGAATGCAAAGAATAAGAATAACCTGGGAGCCATCTTGATGATGCCATAGCTGGGAAGGCTGGCTGAGAAACAAATATTTCATTAAACTTCTTACACAATTTAACAATTTAGTGAGAAACTGTTTGTAACATTTCACATAGACAGAATTACTAATTCAACTGCACTACATCGTGTCTGTTGTATTCTAGAATATTATTCTGCAAAAGAATGTACATTCCCCATTCAAATAAGGCACATTCGGTTATGTGGGACCATCTTCCCCACAACATCAGCCTCAGCACGGACTTCATGAAGTTCCTGTTGAACTTCTCATCGGCTCTTATTTCTCTCTATTCATGAATTCTAAGTGCATTGCCTGCTCTCTCCTGATTAATGAATTAATCAACAAACTAAGGTTAATATTTGGTTTACTTATTGACTGATCAAAGAAATTTTCTTATTTGATAGTCTTTCCTGCGGTCTGTTATTTTTGCCTTCATCTCACTCCCCACACTGTGCATGGTCAACCAGATTTTAAAATGTTTGCATATATTACAAGTCCTTCAAGTGCCTCCTTTTTACAATATGGCTGGGGTTGTCACTACAAATAACCAAAACAATAAAATCAATCTCAACAAATCAGAGTCCATCTAACAAAATTCAGACAAGAAACATATTTTCCCCTCAAAATACTTCTTTCATTTTTTTTCTTTAATTAAAATGAAATTCTTTTAAAATTTGGTAACTCAGAAAATGATAAATGTATGATTTTTTTTCCAAAAAAAATTAATAACTCAACTTTTTAAATTAAACATTTTTCATTGTGTATGAAAATTTGTAAATGATAAATGTATAGAAAAAAATGTCTTAAATTTTAACAGACATCGAAAGATTGTTTTTTGTGTTCGTAAAAATAGGTGGTCAACATTTGCAGTTTAGCTCTATGAATTTTCCTTGAAAAGATTTAATGAGCAATTGTTCCAATATATGTCAAAGAATGAAGACATTTATCATTGAAGCAGCAAATGTTTTCTTAATATTTGTGTTGCACATGACTGGAGCTGTTTAATCAACATTGTAACAGTTTTTCTTCTGCAAAGTAGAAGACAACTTTTAACAGAAACAAATAAAAAAAGACATCAACCCTTAATATTTGACAATTTCAGGAAGTGAGGTCAACATATTGTTCTGATTTTGTAGTTTGTGAGATATTTAGGGGTAAATTCTCCATTTCTGAAGAGAATAGCATCACTGGGTAAGGTGTGTTGGATGTTGAAGCATCGTTTCTTGCAGTTGAATTTAAACAGTTATTTCTAGTAAGTGCAAGCATTGCTGACTCATCACAGCTAGAGGGAACTACTTTGCTTATAGCGGAACGTAACGATGGTGTAGTTTCTACAGCTTTTACTTGATTCCTTGCATATTTCTGTTGAAAGTTGGAAATGGTAGACATCGCAGGTGAAGCGACAGAAGTGAGTTTGGTAGAATCAGAACAGTCACCAGTGGCACAGAAGGGATCAGTTTTTGTGAGCGGCAATTTCGGAGCTGATGTGTCAGAATTCAAGGAGGGATGATGTTGACCATATTCACACGCATTGTGATCTAGATGTTCCATTTTGATATGAGAAACAAGTTGAGATTCTAGTGTTCGGTCATGGTGTTCCTGGAATGTCTTTGATGCTTTGCCAGTTTTTGTTACAGAAGTAGAACTGGAACCTTGAGAATTAACTGGCCAGCCTGTGGCCATGGGCCTTACAGTGTGTGTTTGCATAGTAAGATTCTTTGAACAATCCAACTGGACGGAATTTTGAGGTTCAGTCTTGACTACAACAGGACCATGGGAAACAAAACCTTCACCCCCTGGACACTGTGGCCATGATTTAGTCAGTAGGTTTCTCTTTTTAATTTCCGGAATAGGATTTTGTTTACGTTGTAACGAGAATTGTGGTGAAAAGGAGTCTGATTGGGTAGCAAGGTGTGACAGTGTAGTCACTGGGCACATTACGTTGTCAATAGAACCGGAACCCTGGGATTGTGAGCAAAGGTGTGTCTCACAGAGCATGCGAAGTTCTTCAATTCCAAGCTGATACGAGATTTGCTGAAGTTGGGTGAGTGTAAGAGGATCAAGATCCAAGAGGCCATTATACATGTACTCAGCAAACGCCCGCATTGCATTCTCACTGATGTTGGCCGGAAAGTTCACTCGCAAAAAGCAATTGTTTCTCACCTCAGAACTTGACAACAATGTCGGGGAAATGGCCATCAGAACAACTTTGTGGACCTACAATAAAAAACTTTTAAAAAGTAAATTGAGTTTAATAAAAAAAAAAAAAAATTCATGACTTTTAGAAAAGATATAATTTTGAATCTATTTTATTCAATTTTGTTGAAAATTTTGGCAGTCTTTCTAAATAAAGATCAGAAAACCAAAATCTCTGCTGATTCATTCCTATCAGAAACAGATTTTAACCATTATTGACAGCATTAAATACACAGACAAACCACCTGAATATTTAAATAACGAACATAAAAATAAAAAATTTCCTGGTACATAGTTATAATATGCTTAGGTAACAATTCATTTTACAAAACTAATAAGCTTTGCAAGATTTTATTCCACCCATTTTTTAATGCCATCTCTCTTCAGTGATCATGGCTCTCCAGTGTTCTGTACTTTATTATTTGTGAAAAGCCATGACTTCTTGAAAAAAAAAAAAAAAAAAAAAAAAAAAAAATAATAATAATAATAGTGGAATAAAGTTCTGCTGTCTTTTTCCACAGTTTTCAATTCAATTTAGTCCTTTACTGAGACTGGATGCTTCCAAAGCAAGAAAATAAAGTCTACTCTTATTTAACCCATAACTAAGGGGGGAGGGCTTCATGCATTTCCCAAAAAGAATTAGTATGAAAGTGAACACAACAGACTAGGCCAGAAATTGAAATCAGCTAGCTGAATCTACTTTCTACCTCAAGAACTGTTATACGACCTGCACACATCTCCAGCCATTAGTGATTTCAAAATATAAGAAAAACATAGAAAATGCAAGGAATTCTTTGCTTCAGTGAATAAAAATTGCATTTGACAAGCCAAATGATAAATGCTTTTAGAAGCAAATTGTGATGATAAATATTTGCACTTGCCGGAGTCGAAGCGTCCAAGATGTTTTGCTTGTTGGGCTGCTGTTTTATGATGGATATGTGCATAAACCCAAGCTAGACAGTTTGTCATTTTGTCAACTGCATCTTTTCCTCTCGCAAGTGTGGTCCAAGAAAAGTACATTCTCTGACATTTGTTTATTTTATGCTGCTTGGCATAATTTGTTTAGTGGCAGTCTGCATGCTGATTGGTCGAGCTGGGGACTTTGACCGAGAACAAGGCCAACGGCAATGATTGGTGCGTTGGCCGTGTTTTTGGTCAATAAAAACGGTCTGGAACATTGGCTGGCAGTGCAACCGGGACCGTGGTGACGTGCACTGTTATAGAGGTTCGTATTAAGTTACGACTGTTTATTTTTGTCTGAGAGCTGGACGCTAGCTTCAAACCTACCGCTAGAGTGAGCAGTGTAATTATCGGTGTCTACCGAAAAGTGGGAAGAACATCCTGAACTGCAACACAGATGTCATTAGAGTCAGACAATGTTTACCTGCCAATAGGAGTAATTAAACGTAGCTCTCCTCTGCACAATGATCAAACACAAAACTCTCCCTTGCTCTACTATGTCACAAAACAAATATACCCTTCCAGTGCAAAAAAAAAAGAAAGAAAGAAACAAGACAAAACTACTAATTATATTCCTAGTAGTGTAGTTTGTACAATACAGGCATAATTTGCATATTCAACCAAATTTTAAAAAGGTAATTTATCTCGCTACAAACTATCCAGAAAAGTAGGCTTACAATGCAGAAAAGTAGGCATTTCAGGAGCATTTTCCAAGTGATATACGCTGTGCTTGTTCTAGTCTGAAAGTAGACAGTCAGATTTTCAAATCTTTGTCCTAACTCCAAATATTTGTCAAGTTATAATCGCTTCAAGTTAATCAAAACTCCCATATGTTTGATCATCTATTTTCAGATGATCAATTCTGGATGGCTGCTTTTTCTGCTTCTTTTTGCTAGGAAAATCATTGGAATCTTGTTGAGTTGAACATTAAAAGTGACAGATATGCCAGGTAACAAATATCAGTTTTTGGCATAAATATCAGAAAATCATGATCTAGACCTTTCGTTCTATGTTTTTTTGGCTGCTGAATAAATTCAAGTCCTCAAAAAATAAGTAAAATGGATTAAATGCTAAATTTTGGCTTTTCACTGCTAACCAGGGCTTCTAAAACAAATTCATATTAGAAATGTGAAAGTTTTATTTTAATCTTCCTCTTAAGCACAAATAACATGAATGCAGTTCTATAATTGAACTGGAAATCATTCGCAGGGCTTAAAAACCATAAAGCAAGCTATTTTGCAAGTGTTATACAGCCATTTTGAGGATTTTGAGAACTGGTTGCGCGACCTTGATGTAACTTGGAAACTAATCAGAGGGGACCTTACTGTGCATGAGTTTTTTGAGACTAATACAGTTGGCTGTGAGATGCCATTAAATGTGCAATGTGTAAGTGATGCATTCACAATGACAATGTACCTGTGCAGGGGTTTTTTTTTTTTGCAAAACATCACATCACACGTTTGCCAGTGACGTCTGCACCCAAACCCCAAACCAGATTTAGCTCCTGCAACTTCTAGCTTTGCCCCCAAAGCCCAAAATTATGATCATCTAAAAAAATTAAAAAAAAATCTTTTTTAAAAAAAAAAGTAGAAGAAATACTGGAATAATTATGTCAGATCCTAAAGGAGTACTTTGAAGGGGACTACGGTAACATTGTTTACAAAATGGAATAAGCCAGCCAGCCTTTTACAAATTTACAAAAAAAAAAAAAAAAATCTGCATTCTAAATGATGTCGGATTATTTAAAACAGCAGCAATCAAGAAACTTTCTTCCAAAATTCTATCAAATATTTTTCGGGACTCAAGTGAAGAACATGACATATGTTGAGCTTAGAACCAAATAGAACAGAAAAGAAATCTCTGTGAATTCTCTTTAAGAGACAAAAGCAAAATACTGAAGATGTTTTGTCTTGTTTCTTTCTTTCTTTTGTGCTGGAAGGGTGTAGCTTTTTTGGAAGCACATCTGGCAGAATTTAAAGTGGGTTACTCTATTTTTCAATCTGCTGAGAAAAGCTTTTAATTTCCTACAATGAAAAATTTGGTATCGGAAAGAGCTGTAAAAAAAAAAAAAAAAAGAAGCAGAATATCTATTGTAGAGAGGGAACATATTTTCTGAATCCATATTTGTAAAGGCACCAAGTTGGCAAAGAGGTTCCTATATCTCTGAGTTATAGATTTTTTATCCCATAACCTTCAGGGTCATAGCAGCACCATGTGTACTGCAGCCAGAGTAGAAGTGGTGTTTCTTGGGTAAGATAGCCTGACAGAGCCCAACCCTCTCCAGGCTGGTTTTGAATTCACGGTTTCTCCATCTCCTAGACCAGCTGCCACCCAAAGCTATAGAACCTGGTCTGTCTTGCTATATACCCATCCCTGAGGTGATAAGAAGAGGATTCATACCTTTCCCAAGGGTATTAGCACATAAGTGAATGTAATGGATCCAAATGGAATTCGAACTTGGCTCTCCAATTTGTCAATCCGAGCCGCTATCCATTACTCCACTGTGCCTCCAAAAACTCATCCTCTCTATTTACCAACCTCCCCACAAGGTAAGATATGACACAAGGCCAGTTTTTAATGTGGGGCATTCCTAGCCTGTAGGCTGAGGCAAAAATTGCCTGTAGACCCTGTATACACAGGGTCGGGTTTGTCTACCACCCAAAATGAGACTCTACCCTTCGGCATAGCCTCATCTGGGTTCTTCTCTGCCTGAAGGCAGAGAGTTTGACAAGAGAGGAAGAGAAAGCATCCTCTTTTGAGTTATATTGGCTTTCAAAACTTTAATAAGAGTAAAAAAATAACTGATGTATTTTGATAAAAACAACAAAAACCAGTTATGTCAGAAAAGGTTCAATAAATGAAGTTAGAGTTGATAATAAGAAAGTATAAAAGTCATTTTTTTACCATAATGATTGTCGTGCCATTTCCAATTGAAGCATCACACATTTTTTGTTCCTTCCACATGGATGATAAACTTGACATCATACTGTACTGATGTTCTGGAACAACTAGCAACCGTTTTGATGAAGGCTGGTACGTATCCATGACAACGGAATCAGTCCCTTGCTGTGTCATGTGTGACGATTGGTTATCACTGACCATTAATGTCATGTTGCAGTCTGTCCTGTAAAAGTACACAAAGCATGTAAAACAGAATTGTGTCTACTGTATCTGATTGATAAAAGACTTTCAAATTTTGTTCAGAAAAAAAATGATTTTCAGATTTTGTTCAGAAAAAATAAAATAAATGATTTTCAGATTTTGTTCAGAAAAAAAAATAAATAAATGATTTTCAGATTTTGTTCAGAAAAAAATAAATAAATGATTTTCAGATTTTGTTCAGAAAAAAAATAAATAAATGATTTTCACATTTTGTTCAGAAAAAAAATAAATAAATGATTTTCAGATTTTGTTCAGAACCAAAAAAAAAAAATAAATGATTTTCAGATTTTGTTCAGAAAAGAAATAAATTTCATCTGATGATCCAAATCAAAGATGGCCTCACAACTTTAGATTGGAAAATTATTGGGAAAAATATTACATAAAGAAAAACAAAACCAAAAAAGAGAGACATTACAAACAAAAACACTAGTACAATGTAGTGGTTAGAGTACATATGGTGCTCTGGAAGTTGTGAGTTCAATTCCTAGGTCAGGTCATTTAGTGGAGAAATACATCAACAAAAGAAAAACAACTGATGGTAAGGAATTGTATAATGTCCTAGAATGAAACCAAGTAAAAGAATAAAAAGAATATATTCTGACTTGTTGATAAAATAGACAACAAACTATTGAAGAAGGTTGGAACAAATATAAGAAAAAAGGTGGCAAAAATTCCTAATGAATCAATAATAACAAGACATTGTATCAAAATTTCAATCAGAATACAGGTCAGTGCCATTAAGCTGCGCACCAATAACCCATCACACAAGTGTGATGGACCCCAAAATTTTTTGTCATGTTCATATTGGAATCATAATCATCAGTGAATCCCAATTTGAAACAAATTCAAACTTGATTGTGACACTTTTTAAAGTCTGATTTTTGTCTGTATAATCTTTTACTTTAATAAATTCATTAAATTGAGTTTTAAAACCTTCAGTATATCCGTATTTTCCCAGGCATTTACTATTGTTTAGTCTTTGGCATTTCACACTCATGATTGTGTAGTGGTTTGGATTAGCACTTTGCGGACATTTTGAGTGTGAAATATGCAGCTTACAACTTTTATCCTAACTTAAAAAAATTTCACTGGATTTGCTTTAATATCAATAATGTGCTTTTCCAAATAATCTATATAATCTGCAGAGAAGAGCCATTAAAACTATAAAAAAAATTAATTTTATTTTTTTCTTGTTAAAATCTTGTGCGTATGAGATTTCCATCATCTTTTGCTGTCATCAATGATGGATCTACTGACGGTGCTTTATAATTGAAATAATTTTAGGATGTCATCTTTCAAATTTATTTACATTGGTGCAGATTTTTATGTGGAATTAAAGGATAGTTTTAATAAAAGTTTTTCAAAACTGCCAATATTCAACTCTTAGTATTGAATAGGCATTTTACATGCTTAGTCACTGTGCTACTCATTTTCGCAGATAACTCCATGGATTTAACAAGCTTTGTTTTGGTGGTCTAAGCTGGCAATGCTGACATCGTGATTCACTTTTGATCTAAACTCTGGACCATCCAAACCGCGGATAGAAGTTCTGGACCTCAACTACCGTGGTTTATTGGCACTGACCTGTATCTTTTCTCATTAGTTTTTATGAAGCAGATAAACTTCAGATCAACTTTTAAATTTTGGTTTGAGTTTTCATATTTATTTTTCAACATTAACTCCTTCCTTGTCAATGCACTTAATTCAGTGTTGAATATTAATCATAATACAGTGAAAATTTCAGATCAAAACTTACTTAATAACTACATTATCAGGTTACAGACTTATTGATCCAGCCACGTATTTACTTACTGGTCCTCTTGAATTTCTTCTTTCATTTCGTCAACGTTTTCAACATTATTCGGAGCAAAGTCTGTTTGTTCTTGTGTTTCAGCTTCAATGTTCGGTAGTAACAACTCCCTTGGCCCCAATGTGGTCTGTGGACTTTTTCTCATTTGGTTACCAGATGATAACTACAAAAAAATAGACAATTATTTGCATTTGTTTCAAAACTTTTCAACAGCCCAACATTTACAATTATAGAAATTACAGAAAAAAACTAATTTCAGTTATTCACATTTACCTTTGGCATTTGTGAAAAACAGAAAAGTTGTTCCAATCAAAAATAACATTTACCAGTATCTGTCTATATTTCTGAGATGAGGTATTATATACATTATTTGGACTATTGTCCTCATCTTTGTTGCCATATTTATCACAACGTTTCGACCTTTCAGTATCTGTCTATATTTCTAAGATGAGGTATTATGTACATTATTTACATTATTTGGACTCTTGTCCTCATCTTTGTCACCATATTTATTACAACGTTTCAGCCGTTGTACAATCCGGCCTTCTTCAGGTGGTTGGAAAGTCGAACGTGTAACTAGAACAGTCTACCCCAGTGAGCGAAATAAAGGGTTCAGTTCGACATTCCAAACACCTGAAGAAGGCAGAAGCGTACAACAGCTGAAACGTAGTAATAAATATGGCGACAAAGATGAGGACAATAGTCCGAATAATGTAAATAGTGTACATAATACCTCATCTCAGAAATACAGCAAGAAACTCTTTGTTTCAGAAATTCATACAGAAATTATTTAATATTTTACTAAGGAAAAGGTTTGACTTATTATTAACATCTGCCACAAAATAAAATATTAATTGTAAATATCAAAATAAGAATCCTGTATAAATCATTGGTTTATAAAATCTGGTATTAATTATCAGTTTCTTCCTGTCACCCATTAATGCTCATCATCTTATTTTGGCGTTGCTACATGTAAATGGCTTAAGATGTCAGGCCAATTCTTTTATCTTGTGAGTTATCTCCTCTTTGATTATTAAGTATTATAAATTTAAATTTGTTTTCACCAATCTTTTCAATTGTGGATGAATTTCTTCAAGCTGTCTCTCTCAAAATTGCATTATTTTCAAGTGTTCTAAATCCTCTTCAATGCTTTTTTCCAAAACACTGGAGAAAACTTTAAAGTGATAAATACACACATGAAAAAAACTTAACTGAATCAAAATATCTAAACTTAGTAAACATTAAGCAACATTTCAAAATGAAAATCATGGCATCACACCAATTCAATCATGTTTTTATATGACATTTAATGACCCTTCTCATTCCCTACTAGCTTAAAAATCAAATGTTCATTGCAATAATTAGCCAAAGTGGAAAAGTTAAACAGGCAAAAGGCTGGATAAGAAAAAGAATAATCTTTTTTGTTCACTGTTTGGCATAATGCCAAAAACTGAAGCCTCGTAACTGTAGATTCGTCTCTCAGATAGTATCCCCTCATTGTACAAAAAGAGGTAAGATCAAGTATACCTTTATGTCTGTGGCAAACGATCAAAGAAACCCAGCAATTTCTTGAAGGTTCACATCAAGAACACAAGTTGAAGAATTGAGTAAATTATCAGGTGAGTATATGCATTCTCCATAAATAAAGCGCACTGACATTGCACCACATGTTGCTATTGTGGAGAAACAAATAAATACCTTTCTATTCATTCTTAACTCTCTTTATGGTCATTTGTAGAACAAATGGATCTCACTGTCCTTGTTAAATGCTAAGAGACAAATTTCAAATGTATGTACTTGAGACTTTATATATCAAGTCTAGGCAGCCCTCCCTCTGTAAGCAGTTGTTGTTTCAATGTTATCTGTTTGTGACTTGTATTAGTGGCTTTCTCACCCAATTATATTTTATTCACAAATTTATAATTTTTTTGTCCTCAACTGAGCTCAGAAAAGAATCATAACCATTCAGGAGGAGAAGATATCATTATTTACATGAGGTCTATTGTCATCTTTGTTATTACATTTTGACAGTTTTGCTCTCTGGCCTTCACAGAAGACTGTCAATCCAGGTAACGTTCAGGCCATTTCAGACTGAATACTTTGTTTAATTAACACTTGTAGATTGTTCTCAATCTGCTATGTCTATGGAGATCTCATTTTGTTCCTATTTAGTATTATACAGTTATTGCTTACCCTCATTTCACAAAGATGTCTGCACATCTCAGAGATTGAAATCACAATTACTGTCACTAAATTCATGAAGCAACATTTGACATAAAGAGTGAAATGAGAACAATCTATCACCATTGATTAAATAAAGGGTTCAGTTTGAAATTGCCTGAAGGTTACCTGGTTTAATGAAGGTTGGAGGGTACGACATCTGAAAAATTGTTATAACAACAAAAAAATGAGGACAATAGTGTGCATGCAAATTCTGTAAACCCGTTAGCTTTTTCTATATTTTAAATAACTTTTTGATTTCCTATTTCACGGTAAATGTTTTTTCTTTTACTTCCTCCTTTGTTTTAATTTATTTCTACATTTTATATATTAATATACACTCGGTTTTTTTAATATGTCAGTTTTTAAAGCTATAATTTTTAAATGTATTTTAAAAAGAAATACAAAGGAAAGTAACACAACAGGGTTGTCTGAATGTCTTGTCACCCTTACACAATATAACAATGCTGTATGGGATATTATTATTAAGGAGAGAATTTCACATGAACGATACCAGAATACCCATCACTTGAAGGACACCGTTCGGAGTGCCTTTGCAACATTTAACAAAGCACAGCTTCATGAAATATCACACAGGGCATAGCACTGCATCATTTTGTGCCACAGAAATAATGATGATGATCATATAGACTTTCTTGATGTGTGACAGCATCAATGAAAGTGATAAACTGAATCCAGCACATGTGCTTTTATATAAATTTATTACTTGTTGTTCTATTGTTCTCATTCCTTTCTGGTAGGGGGTGACAAGACTTTCGGACCACCCTGTACATTGATGTGGCAGACGAAAGGTATTGGGTTTTAAATTTTAAGGATCTTGATTTCGTCAATGAAATTAAATGAACTGAATCCCGTACATGTGTTTTAGTGTATTACTTGTTGTTCTATTATTCTCATTCCTTTCTGGTAGGGGGTGACAAGACTTTCGGACCATCCTGTACATTGATGTGGCAGACGAAGGGTATTGGGTTTTAAATTTTAAGGATCTTGATTTCGTCAATGAAATTGAATGAACTGAAGTATATGTGCTTTTGTCTTAACTGTATTACTTCTTGTTCCGATTACTTTTTTGTAGCGGGTGACAAGACTTTCGGACCACCCTGTACATTGATGTGGCAGACGAAGGGTATTGGGTTTTAAGGATCTTGATTTCGACCATGAAAGTAAATAAACTGAATCCCGTACATGTGTTTTAGTGTATTACTTGTTGTTCTATTATTCTCATTACTTTCTGGTATGGGGTGACAAGACTTTCGGACCAACCTATATTCTTTGGCCTAGTTTGTTAAATTTCATTTGTTTGCGTGTATTTGGGAATATTTTAGTAAATTAAATTTTTATGCAAATTTCATGTAAGTTTGTGCTCTACCTCTAGTAAATTTACTAACGCTGAAAAATAACAAATTAAAAAACGTAGGAAAACAAAAATATGAATTAAAAAAAAAAAAATGAAAAAGAAGATGACAAACCATTAAATTTAAACGCAAATTCTCTTCATTCTTCTTATATATCTTTGATGGAATATTTCCTACAATCCAGTTTCTGCCCTTCACGTTGACAAATGCCAGTTTTTTCCTGCGCATGAAACGGAAACACCAAGAAGGTCCGCCAATGAATCCTTGTATGTTTTTCTCTCCTGCTATGGCCTTGGCTTTTTGCTGGATGACTTTAGGACACAGGCGGGTCTTTCCTGCGGCCACTTGTTCCAGCACCCATGCCTCCAGCAGATCTTCCAAAAGTGACCATCGGGCTGAACCTCCACGGTTGGCCCTTTTCGATTTATGACTCAACCTCAACAGGTCTTCTTGTTTCTTCCAGTAACGAATTTGTTTTTCATTCACACAGAAAAGGTTACCCGCTGCCCTGTTACCCATTTCTTTTGCATAAGCGACAACATTGAGCTTAAATCCTGCCGTATAGCTCCGACGGGGAGCTGCCATCATTCAAACGATTTCTTTTTCTCTTTAAAAAGGCGTGAAAAGATGTTTTTTTTTTTTTTTTTTCAGAGCGATTAAAAAAAAAAATCAAAACAAAAAAGATAATTAGTTTCAAATTCGCTTTTCCCTTAGAACATTGCTTCTTCTTCTCTATTTTGTCATTTTTTTTAAATAATCCTGATAAGCATTGGTTTCACATTTTCATTATTTTAGTTTATAGTTTAAACAGCATAATTAATTAATAATTATAAAAAAAAAAAAAAAATATGTAGGCTTTCCTTTTCTTGTTAAACCGGTGCTTCGGGAAAGAGTCTCAAGGGAGATAACTCCTTAAAGTTTCTTTTGTTGCATAAAACTATGGATGAACAAAAGCGTAATAATTTAATGGACTTTTGAGATTAACAAATGATTTTGACATTATCAAATCGGTTCTATTAATAAAATTAACGTGTTACAATAAAAATTAGAATTAGCAAAAATAGTGAGTACCATCTCCTGGCTGCAACACTTCAGTAGTTTGAAAAGATAGTCTCAAGTATTCAATTCACATAAATGCCACATTACCAAGAAATGACCACAATGATATTGCATATTGTGAAAAAGAAATCAAAATGCTTCTCTAATTATAATATTGTTATAAGAGTGACTATGATAAAGTTTACTATTCACTTTTTAAGATGTTTAATAGTGAAACACAAATAATAACAACAAAAAGTATTTTGAATACAACCATTTTAAATATGATGTCATGATCCATCAAGTGATCAATAAATTTTGCTTCATAAGTGACATGGTCATAAATGAGTGGGGTATCTAATGATACTCACCTTCACAAGTGTCATAATAAATTAAATAGCAATCTATCAATTCATTGATTTTTTTGTGTGCTCTGACACTTTTATGCAATGGATGTTCTACCAATCTAATGTAAGCCTGGTTCTCATGTTGACATTAGACCCAGAAAGAAAAGTGATATCTAAAGTTTAAAATGAATTTTTAAAAATGAAAAATCTTTCTTGAAACTTATTTTAATTTTAATTTCAAGTTTAGTTGTTTGTTTTACCAGCATATCAACCCTTTTGGTTTATTTAAGGCTGAAGAATTTGTTTGGTCTTTTGTTTACTGCTCGTTGATCTTTTGTGAGTTTATTGATTTTCGAGATATAGGTAGAGGTGTTGTGATTTAGTGCATGATAATTATATGCTATCTTCTTTTCCAACTATATTGTTGCTTTTAGAAATTCTAAAAGGTCATTTGGGTCAGTTTTGTTGAAGATGTCTTTCAGATTGATTTCTTAATAGTATCTTAATCGTATTTGTTCACAATCTATGCATCTTGTTAGTAAATGTTTCACTGTGTAGAGCTCCTGGCATGGAATGCAAATTAGAGCTTCTTCACCCTTCAGCAAGTGTGAACGGGCGACAACGGTGTGGCCTATTTGAAGTCTACTCATTACTACTTCTTCTCTTCTTGATATTTTCCTGTTGGAAATTTTAGCTTCTATCCGTTCTTTGAGGATGGGTTTGATTTCGTAGAGTTTGTTATTTTTGCAGGAGTTCCACGACTCTTGCCATTTGGTCATAATAAGGTTGTTGATTAGGGGTTTATGGAGTACTTTTATGTCACTAATGTTAATGTTTAATGATCTTTTAGTTTCCTCTGAGACCAATGTGGCTGGGAATCCAGCAGAAAATAATGTTTTTGTTTTGAGTGATGAGATTGATTCTTTGTAGAAGATTAATGATCAGAGGGTTATTTAGATTTCTGCTTTTTAGTGCCATTAGTACTGATAACGAGCCTGAAAATATTATATATTTGTTAAGGTTAAGTTCAAGGGTGAAGTCTAAAGCTAAGTTTATGACTGTAGCTTCAGCACTGAAAATTGAGGTATTGTCTGGTAGGCGTTTTTAGAGCGTAGTGTTGTTAGAGATAGTCACACTTCCAACTTTATTCTTGTCTTTAGAGCCATCTGTGTATATTTGTGTCCAGTTTGGATGTTGTTCTAGGATGTTATCTAAATTATCGATATAAGTTGAGGGATGTGTATTTGATTTGTATTTTAGTTTCAAGCTAATAGATTAGATTTAATATTTCCAATACACAAAATACTTTGCTGTATTTCAAAACAAATTTAAATTGATTGGAATTAGTTCTTTGTATGAAATTGGTAAGAAGGTCTGATTTTAGCCATATTTACAATTCTCTCGGAACAATGTAATTCTCTTAATTAAAAAATCTTTCAAAAATAAAATATACTTTTCTGAAACTTTTTTGGAGGAAGATTAGCTGATTTATAGTTTAATTTGATTTGAAACAAATATTACTTACTTTAAGTTTAAGATATTGCAGAAAAGCACTTTTTTTAAATGAAGGTGAGTGTTTTATGAGGTATTGACAACTATCTCAATACACTTATGTTTGGAAATCTTTTATAGAGGGAACATATCTGTAAAAATTACTTGACAAATATAACATGAGCACCTTTTTATATAATTTTTTAATTACCCAGCAACCTTAAAAATTTAAGAAAATATTCTAAGTAATCAAATGTTTTATTGAATTTTAGGTACTTTGGCTTTAAATTTAAGATATTTAGTTACAATTTGTTTGTTTAACAGCATACCAACTCCTTATGGGTCATTTAATGCCAAAATTTACTTTTCTTGGGAGCTTTGAAGTAATGATATCATATGTTACTCTGCTTTCACAATTGAATACAAAAATAGAATGCTGGAAATTTTTTTTTTTTTTTTACAAAAGTAGTAACATTTTTTTTTGCTATGAAAATGTATTGCTGGTATTTTTACTATTTTATTAGTTTGTAGGTTCACTATTTGCCTATAGGGAGAACAGCAATTAAGTAAATTTACTATAGTTAGTGCTCTTATTTTCTAAAAAAAGTCTAGTATGGACATCCATATTTACAAAAATCAGCACATTTATACACACACGAAAAAATACAAAATTCTTTTTAAAATACTAGGGTGGGGTCACTGGATTGTACTAAACTTTTTTTTTTATTTATGATTAATAAATATGCTATTTACTTAATAATAATATCACCTAACTGGTACAAATTAATACAGAAATTTAAGATTAAAATTTTATAAATTACTCAAATTAAAATTCTTTAAAAATGAAAACAAATTCTTTTAAAAATTTATTATTTATCAAAAAAAATTTTTTTCTTAATACAATAGTGTCTATATTATATTCATGAAAGCAATTAAAAACTTTTCTAATTAAATAATGTCTTTGTTTTATTGCTATGATGTTGCCAATAGAATGTTTAAGTTGCTTGGATGAACCAGAATTTGTTGAGACTTGGATCCAGTGTTTTGCAGCCCAGGCTAGGGCTAAAAAATTGAAAGACATCAAGGCAAGAGGGAGACAAAATGAAATAACTGACCTTTTTCTAGATTTGGCAGGTTGTGAAGCTATAATGAAAATTTCTGTTATGGCATACCCCAAAGAATTGGAGAAGTTGACTACTGATCACATGTTGTACACAACACAATACAACAATTGCATTTTTTATTTTACATTTCAGAGCAGATTTTCAGTAACTGGGGATCATGTTTTATAAGAAAAAAATTGTGATTTAAATTCTTCAGGGACTTCTGTTTATAACATTAAGCCCCACAAAATTGGATTTTTTGAAATTATATAAAATTAAATAAGTGAGGGAAGGAGTAACAGATATTAAAAAAATATTTTTACCAAGATTTTCTAAAAAAAAAAGAAACATTTCTAAAATAATTTTATCTATTTGTATATAAGTCCTGAAAGTTTCATTAAAATATGACAATTACTTGATTTTTTAAAGAATTTCTAAATGTGTTTTTGTCCACAACTGCTGATACATAAAAAAAAAAATAATTAACCATAATTTTGAAGGTTCTAAAAAGTATTAAAAAAATAATTTAATAATAAAAAAATCCTTTGGTCTTTCCTCTTAATAATAATTATTTTTATTCAGTATGTTCATTTCTTTAGCAAATCTTTTTAGGTTCCTACATTAGGATGTCTCCTTGATTGTATCTATTTTAGTGGTACTCTTTGAGAGATGACTTCCAAGAAAATTAAGTTTCTATACATTTTGTTGTTGTTGTTTCTGGCCACAAATGATGATTTGTTAAATTGGAGATTTCTTTCCAAGAGCCACTACTTTCTGGAATAGACTCCTGTGAAGATACCTCCCCAAATACTAGAATCTTAACCTCTTCAAGTCTACGGTCAGCTGTTAGCTATCATAGATATCCTCATATTCTGAACTTACTTTCTCCATTCCTCCCCTACATTCATACAACAATTTCATTCAGTAATCCTCTACCTTGAGTGACTCTTGGGTCTTGTATTGGTTGAATATTTAGTTCAAGAAAAAAAGCCGCTGTATAGCAGGGCACCAACACTGACAATTCATCCTATAAAATGGTGATTTTCTGAGTGTAGCTTAGATGAGGCACAAGGCCGGAAGTATGGGGCACACAGCAAGGATCAAAACTCAGTATTGCCAACCATTTTTACACCACATCGAGGTGCCCTCTTAAAAAATGGTTATGTTCTGCAAAAGAAGATCATGAGATTTTGGTCGGGTTTTTATTTATTTCATCTCAAAGTTCTGAATTGTAATTCCATCAAGGCCTGCCTCATAACTAAGATTGTTGCATATTTGGGTACTACTTAAACAGATTGGTGCATGTGTCAAAAACAGGGAAATATTTCCCAGGGAATAGATTTTATAGATTAGCATCTTTTACCTTCCTTAGACCACATTTTTCAGAATTGAAGAATATGAATTTTTTTTTAGTATCAGATGAGGGGTTCTTTTCAGAATATCAATACAGTGTAAAATTATACTCATTCCCAGACTTTTCAACAAGAGAAGACGTTTCCCTTTATCTTTTGTTTCCTGTTACTCATAAAAAAATTTAACTCTAATAATCATTTATTCACATTTTTTTCCTTCACACTCCTTCCCGGTCTTTTGAACAGGAGTTGTAGTTTATCCTTGTTCCCTGTTTAGGATTGGGTTTCCAGTTCCCTAGATTCTTTTCCTTCAGGTGTATCCGATCCCCTTGCATCTTGGTGGAATTGTTCCCTTGCATGGGGGGGTGATGTCTCTTATTCTGTAACCTCCTACTTTGAGTTGTTCTTAGGCCTTGTACAGGGTGAACATCATTGTAAAAATATAAATAAAAATAAATCCCCGACTTTTGTTAATTTCCAATAATTATATTTGTTTACTTTTATCAAAATTGAAATTATTGTGACGTCATTGAGAATTGCCTTATTTTTTATTTTCTGAATTTTTAAAAAGGCTTTTAAATTAAAAAGTTCAAATTTTTTGTTAAACAATTTCTTTTTTTTAAATATTTTCTATTTGTTCCTTTATCTAAAAAAAAATTCTTTCCTTTTATTCATATATCTGTTTGTTTGGCTTTTTTTAATATAAAAACGAAAAAAAAAAAGTTTACTGTGTAGTTTTTTAACGAATCTAACAATTGCTAATTTATTTTTTTAAATTATACAGTGTAACCCGGATGTAAGAGAGTTGTCGGGACCGGAGAAGAAGTCTCTTATATCCGGGTTTGGTCTATTTTATAACACAGGCTCTAATTTGGGACCAGGGAAAATCTCTTATATCAGGGTTTCTCTTATATCCGGGTTACACTGATATGCGTTCGTTCTTTAATTAAAAAATTTAAAAGATAAATAATGATAAATCTTTTTTTTTTTAAATTTAAAAAAAAAAATCTTAAAATAAAACATAAAAAAAATCTTAAAATAAAACGCATATAAAAAAAAAGGTTTGTTCTTTTTGTTTTTATTTAAGAGAAATCTTTTTGTAAAATAAAAAAACTAAAAATAAAAAAATAAAAAAAAACTTTCTTTTCGTGCGCAAATGTCAATGATAAACTTTCAAACAAAACCCAATTTCAAACTTCCCATTTATAAACAAAAAGTTAGGGAAACTTAGCTTCTAAAAAAAAAAATGATTTTAAAATAAAAAAATATCGCGGCCTAAGAAGCTGTTTTTCCCTGGGAATTTTTTTTTTTTTTTTTGCATGTGGCCCAGTTTATTTAAGTATTGCCCGTGTTTGTTTCCAAACAAAATAAAATCAAATTGCTTTCATATTTTTATTTTTACATAGTTAATAAACAGAAAAAAAAAAAAAAAAACTTCACTCACTGCAATTGTTTTCGTTTTTTCCTACTCATTGGATACTAACAAAATGATGAAAGATATGTTTTTAACTGTTTTACCTTTAAATGTAAAGAAATAAATAATGCGATGTTACAGTTTCCAATTTATTTCAACGCGATCAATAAAAAAGTCCAAGTTTTATTTATCATATTTTTCTTTTTATCTTTGATTCGGTTGGAATCGCGAAATTAAAAAAGAAAAATAATGGTTAGGCTCTCAAATTAGGGCAGATTACTAAAAATAAAAGAAAATAATATTCCTAAAATTTGAAATAATAGTGAATCAAACAGAAAGGAAAACAAAAACCCGAATTTATAATCATAAAAAATAAAAACTTTTATTTTTTATAAAAGCAATTAGGTACCTCCACTAATTCGCCAAAAAAACCAACATAGCATGATGAAAAAAGGGACCAAACTTAATAATAAACAAAATGTTTAGTTTATGTTATTATTAAGTAAGACCAAAGTATTTTTTAATTATTTTAAAAAATTTTTTTAATCCTTTCTAGCACGTTCGAATTTTTTTTTTTACATCAGCGGTAACATTTTTTTAGCGCTTTTTTCAGTTGAAAAACACATTAATTTGAAAATTCTCGCAAAAATCAAATAATTGTCGGATTTTAATGCAACTTTTAGGACTTATTTATAAATGAATGAATTTAATTTTGAAAATATTATTTTTAGAAAATCTAGGTAAAAATATTTTTTTTACATTTTTTTTTATTTTCCCCCACTTAATTAATTTCATAAAATTTTCTAGAATTTAAAAGGGCAACAAAATGGTTTTTAGAGGGTTAGGGTTTTAGGGACGACTTGGACTAATGTAAAAGACACGCGTTATTTTGGAAAGACACACACAAACAACAAAAAAAAAAACTTACGGTATGAAAAGCATGTCGGTTCTTGAAACCCGCGAACCATCCACTGCTTGCAGTGAAATCAGGAATAGCTGAAGGATTATCAGATTTTTTCTTTAAAGTTTCGTAAGTTGATAAAGCTTTCTCTTTTATAACTGAAAAACTGATCTCTGATTGTTTTTTTGTTTGGTTTTCGAGCCAAACGGTTAAAATCTTCTCCATCTCTTCAATAATTTTTGAGCGCATTCTCACCGATTTACTCGCACTTAGACTTGTCCCGGCAATAACACTTGCTTTAATTCTTTCGGCATTGTCTCTAATGGTGCGTAAAGTCGATTCCTTGATCCCCGTTGCACGAACAATGTCACACGTTCTTTCATTACGTTCAAAGCGTTTTATAACTTCGAGTTTTTCTTTAAGTGTTATCGACCTTCTTTTAAATTCGCCGCCAGTAATTTTATCGCCAGAAATCTTTTTATGTTTCTGTTCTCCCATATTTCGATTTAAAAAGCAAATTTTCATTTTACAAAAAAGTGACAAATTTGCTTTGAAAAAAAAAAAAAATGTGAGAGAATTACAAGATAGCTGGGATCTCTTCCTCACAAAAAGCGCGTAAAAATCATATTTCTTCGCGTATTACAAAAGCTTGAGATTTATTTGCTGTTTTCGCAACAAATCTGACAAAAAATTAAATTTTCGACTTCCGTAATGAGAAGAGAATTCCTTATGCAGGTGTAAAAAAAAAAAAAAAAACACTTTACATAACAATCCTTGAAACATTTAGGGTTGAAAAAAATCGCACTATAACGAAAAACACGTAAGCGGAAGTTCGCATTTTAATAAACAGGTTTCATCTATTTCGCGTTAAAATCAATTCCAGAAAGAGAAGAAGAAAATATCGAATAATAAAAATGAAAACGGTCAACGAAATATTTTTTCTTAATAGTATCATTTATTGAGATTTTTTTAAAAATCAAATACGGATTGATTACGTATTTTTATAACACATCAGATTTTATGTTCAAATACTGCAGTGATTGCCCGTATTTGTCTCCTCCGCAGTTTTAGGTTTTTTTTTTTACATTGTGTAATTTTAACGTTGCATCATGCCTCTACAGAAAAGTATATCAAAAAACAAATTATCATAGAAAAAGTCAACGTTGTCTATAGAATTTATTTATTTAATAAGGCTAAAAATTCTATCTATTTCATTTCGTTTTTCGTCAACAGTTTCGTTTCGTATTTCAGCTCCGCCTACTCAAAATCTGTTGGTTCCGCAGAGAAACTTCCTAGTGACGACGGTTGTGCCGGTAGCAATCATAAAAGTGTCATCATAGTTTTGTTGAGGATTTTGACACTATGCTTGTCAGTCAAATAATTCACACAGGGGCTAAATTCAAGGTGGGTGATATTTTTTTCTCTTTACTTATGTTTTTTTTTTTAACAATGGCGCGTTTTTATATTTGAACAATATCCGTTTTTGATTTTAGGTTTAAGGATTTTTTTTATCAAGGTCATTCTTTCTTTCCGCATCTTTCAGAAAGTTGCTTTTTTTTTCTTACTTGTTAATTTGGAAACCAATTTTAATTTATTTATGTTTTTTAAAACTCTTTCTTGTAAATAGTCATGTATAAATTAAAAAAAAAAACCTGTATAATAAGTAAAAATAAACAAACTTTAAGGTACTAAAAATATTATTAGCATCCTTGACCGGGTTAATAGCACCGGAAGTGTCCGGTTACGACGGTCACCTTTATGCAACACTTGAAATTATTTAAAAACTTTTTTAATGAGGCATTTTTAATCCTCTTTATTAAATATTTTAAGTATTTCACCTTTTTTATTTGTTTTTACAGTAAAATGTTTTACTGATCACTTTAATGTATAAGAGAAACCTAGCAGCAATAGTATCTTTATTTTTAAATGTATATTTCATTTTTAATTTTTAAATGTTTTCCACCTGTAGTTCGTAAATAAAAAAAAAAAAAATTGTCTTTGTCATTAACTGAAATGTATTTTCTCATTGATCGTAAGAAAAAGAAATAAATTGCTTATCTACCATACCTGGATGCTTTCAAAATTGATTGACATTTATTTGTTGAAGGTGACTTTTTTTCCACGCGAGTTTTGTTAATAAAGAGCAGAAAAGAAACTAAAAAGTTACCTTTTTTTTTTCTTTTTTTTTTCATGTAAAAAAAACAAAAAAAAACAACTATTTTATTTATCACACTGCGAATTAAACTGCCATGTAAAATTAAAAATAATTTGTTGTCAGAATAACAATCGCTTCATTTTAAGAAGGCAGATATTTTTTTTTAAAGAAACTTAGTTTTATCAGCGATACTTTTTAAATTAATTTTATTTTTACATAATATTTTTTTCCATTCCTTAAATTATAAAAATATATATATATATATATATATATATATATATATATATATATATATATATATATATATCTGTCAAATGAGTGCAAATAATTTAAATTATCCTATTTTCCAACTTTTTATTATGTCTTTTATCATTATTATGATGATAATAATAATGATTCAGATGATGGAATGGTCGGTCACTGCATATATGAGAAAGAAACCCAATCGCTTGAGTAGACATTTCGAACCTTGGTAATCGACCTCCTATTCATACCAGCGCATTGGACACTCTTCTATGTCGTATTTGATGGCATATAAGACCCACGGACATATAAGACCCCTCTTATTTTAGCCAAAATTATTTAGAAACATTTTAGTGTATTTTTTTTTTTTTTTTAAGTTTTTAAGCAATAATATTTTTATTTTCTTTGTAATTAAAGATTAAAAAAAAAACATCTTGGTAAAAATATTAATTAAGGGAAGAGTGAAATAAAAAATATAATAAAAAACATGACAAAGATGTAAAATGAATTTATAAATTATAAGAAAAAAAAAAAGATTATTACCTTTTTAATTGCTGTTTTTGTCCGGCTCCGCAATGATAATCCATGTCTTTTCATAAATCGATAACACCAACCTTCGGTTCCTGAAAATGCCTTTTTCCCTTGTTCTTGTGCTAATCTCCTGGCTTCGTGGATGATCATCTTGGTAGAAACTGATTTCCCTGAATTCCTTTCATTTATCACCCACTTCTTTAATTCTGCTTCAATTTCTGGCCAATGTGGGGCAGGGCAGCGAAGGTTGCTTTTATCTTTTTTAACAGTCATTAATTGTTGCTCTTGCTTTCTCCATTCGCGGATCATTTTTGATGTAGGAGGTTCTCCAAAAACCCTCGCAGCCGCCCTGTTACCATGTTCTTTAGCAAAGTTTATCACATTTAGTTTATATTCAATCGTATAACTTAATCGCTTTGCTCCCGTCGCCATCTTGACTGGCGTGCCAGACGAAGACATTATTATTGATTCGTCTCTCTCCTTTCTTCCTTGCACTATTTAGACACCTTCTTTTAATCTTTACGATATTTCCACCTTTTTTAATTAAAGTACCCGCGATAATAATAATAATAATAATAATAATAATTGAAGTAGTAGCAGCAATAATAGTAATAATAATGATAATAGTGTAATATGGCGTTAGGTCAGATACAAGCACTTGCAGTTTTTACGGTGTCTGGGTAAACATTTAGCCGCCCACCAGATACGTTAACTTCGCATATAAGACCCGGGGGCGGGGATTTTTAGTAAAAATGTTTGTCTTGCGTGTTATCAAATATGGGCCTTTTTAAAAAAAATATTTTATTAATTTGTCAGTTATATTTACGTCTTTATTTTTTTTTTTTACATTTTTTTTTCAATGTTGTATTTTATTAAAATTTAAAAATAGTCTTTACTGACTCTACCCCCTCTAAAAAATGTTTTTGAATGTTGACTCATTCAATCCTCAAGAAAAATTAAGGACGTAAACTAAAAGTTACAAAAAACAGGTTAAATGTCCGAAAAATGTCGAACAGGTTTTACCTGCATGTCTACAGTGCAATTTATGATATTGTCACAATAAAACATCATAATATTGTAATTCAAAATTCGGTTTTAAAAACTTTTCTCCTTAGTTGAAAAAAGTAGCAAGATTCAAACAAAATTTAGCTTTCATATGAAAAAGACCTGTTCGTTAATAATATCGAATTATTATTCAAAGCTATAAAGTTTAAAGATCTATCTTCTTGTTATTTCAGAGCTTAAGAAGAATAAGGTAGTCATTGATCCGCTTCACCACAATGACAAATGTGACACATGCTCAGTTTAATAGGCCCCCCCCTAATTGCGTATATATGACCCTGACCCTCTCTGTTTTAAGCTTTTTAGAGTGTGTTTCAAATGAAAACTTGTTTTCAGTATTTAGTAGTGACCTAATAATTGTACAAGAGTTTTATCTATGAACATAAATTCCTTTCATATCATTTAGAATTATTTAGTTCAAACACACCCACATTGAGTGGGGGTGCTAATAAACTATTGCTTAAATAGACCTATATAATTTATATTAAAAATAAAATATAAAAAAAAATAATATATACACGTATACAAACACTTACCTCCAACTACAAAAATATAATTACAATTCAAATACAATTATACACATCTAATAATTAATTCTAAATATAATACAAATGCACACGTAAACTTCATCACACACACACACACACACACACACACACATATATATAGCATAGATCTGCATGTGAATATATAACTTTCAATAAACTCTAAATATACACAAGAAACATAACATCACATATACACACGCTTTTCACATTGTTTTTTAAGCTTCATCAGAGATCTTTCTCTTTATCTTATTCTTTCATGAGGCTTTAATAAAAGTGAAACATGTTGAAAGCATTCCCTATTCATTCTTTATATATATATATATATATATATATATATATAATGCATTTCAAATACTAAATATGCTTGATTTGTATATAAAAGAATTGTCTTTGTGGAAAAAAAATAATTTATTCCTGAATTTCTATTTGATAAATTTCACTGAGCAATAGGTTTTTTTTTAAAAAAAAAAAAAACAGTAACAGTTTTACTTAATAACATTGAGAAAGTTTTAAAATTTTCTGCAAAGTATTAATTTTAAACAAATATCACCAGTTTGGATTTTTTTAAATTCTTGAAGTTATTTTAAATTTATTTTTTCCATTCTTTATAATTAATGTAAATATATATATATATATATATATATATATATAGCATAATGAGAAGCCACGTATACTTTCTTAATATGTATATATAGAAAAGTTGCAAATTAAAAAATAATGTTTTATTTTATGAAAGTATATATATATATATATATATATATATATATATATATATATATATGATATTTCAAATTGTCCTCAATCTTTCATCAGAATATATTTTTTTTTTTTTTTTTTTTTAAGCATTGTGCCCCAAGCAAGGCGTGAAGCCACTAGGATGCAGGGGGTTGCGGAAGATTTGGAGTGAGTGCAGATAAGAGTGATAGGAGAAAGGTAGAGGAGAAGGATAGTGGGTAGATCAAGGTAATTAGAGATGTCAATTGACACTACATTTGAATAGTTGGAGATTATAGCTTTCAGGGAAACAGTAATTTGGGAGGGTGTTCCACTGGCGAGAGGTGCGAGGTATGAAGCTATTGGAGTAGAAAAGAGACGTCTACATTTGAAGGTTTCTACGGTGTAAGGGTGAGAGCGGGATGCCAGCCTCGTAGGGCGCTTGAATTCATGGAGACTGGGAACCAGAGAGAGCAGCTCATCAGAGCAGTTACCATGGAAGTATTTGTAGAAAAGACAGAGGCGACGGCGCGTCTGTGAGAGAGTGACTGCAAACAAGACGCTAGATCAGGGCCAATTAGATTACATATCCATCTCTGGATCTTGTCAAGAACTCCGAGATAAGCAGAAGGTGCTCCAGCCCATATATGGCAGCAATACTCCATGCAAGGGCGAATGGTTGTTTTGTATATTTGAAGTATCGATTCAGGGGAGAAAAATTTCCTGGATAGCGACACAGAGAGCCAACTTTCCTCATGGTGGAAGAAGCAATTGACTCAATGTATTTGTTCCATCTCAGGTCAGCAGTCAGCGTGAGACCCGAGCAGGCGCAGGGAGTTGCTCTCAGGAAGTTGACTATCAGACATTTTAATGGGGGGCAGGGAAGGATCTCTATGGTGGTTAATGGAGAGTAATTTAGTTTTTGTGGCGTTAAGTTGACCAGCCAATTCTTGCCCCAGTTAACAACCGATTGGAGGTCCATTTCAAGACGCACGGCAAGGTTAGTTTTGTCGCCGACACTAGACTTGTTTTTGAGGCGGAGTAATTGTAGTGTCGTCTGCATAGATGCCGCATTTGGGAATCTATATCTTCAGGAAGGTCATTGATGAAAATAAGGAAAAAGTGGGGCCAAGGATGGAGCCTTGGGGCAC